AACTTGATTTTGCTGAGAGCCTTTGTGAGTATATCCACTTGGAGGTCTTCAGTTGGACAGTAGTTGATCATTAATCTCCTGCTGTGTGATGTGGTCATGAGCATGCTTGATCTTGAGGTCATAGTGTGGTTATGAATGCTTACAAGAGTGCTGTGATTGTCATTGATGATTGGAACAGGAAGGTCAACTGGGACTTGTGGTGGTGCAAAGAGTTTCATCATGTAGAGTGCTTGACATAGTCCTGGTTGCTGGGGCTGTGGTTGGCATTGCAGGAGATTGCAGAGTAGAGTTGTATGATATTGTGCATTGAAGTGTTGTAGCTGATGGTGAGGTTGATGGTGCCCTTGACACACATGGTCTGGCTTGTCAATGTCATTACATAGCCCTCTGGCTGCTCAACATGGATCTCTTTGGCAAGGAAGGCTGAGATGATGTCCATGGTGTGGATCTTGAGATTGCACAGGCACATGAGAGCAAGGATGAAGTGGAGATTTTTGAACACAATGACTGGCACATTGGTTTTGGTGTAGTCATCTCCCCATTGCTGGGTAAACGCTTTTGCTACCCAGTGCGCCTTGTATCAATCAATTTGTCCATCAGGCTTGACCTTGAGCTTGAAGACAAACTTGCCCTTGACAATGTGCTTGTGGCTTGGCTGCAGTATGAGAATCCACATGTTGCTTCACAGAACGTGGTGGGGGTGAAGTACTTGACAGAGGTGATATAGGCCTTGAAGGTCTGAGAGTCCCTTCACCAGCCACTGGGATTGTAGACCTTGGCTGTGATGTAGGCTCTTGCTCATGACCTTGCAGGATGATGCCTTCAAGTCCCACAACATCATCTCCTGATGACACATCACAGTCCAGGATTCAAGATGGTTCATGGGCAGGGGTAGGTCATTCAGAGGTGCCCAACACCACGCCTGTCAGCTGCACAAAGATCAGCTCAGGCATAGGCCACTCACAATGGTGGCACTCATATCACTTACTTGCAGGTGCTGGCTGCTGTGGATTTGGGTGGAGTGGTTGCTCATTGGTACAAAGTTGGCATTGCTCTGGCGTGCTCAGTCACTCAGCAGCTTCAACATAGAGATCCTCATGCCAAAGAAGAGGTCCTCCTCATGGTTGTTGTCCCAGTCTAGTTCATAGTCCAACACAACTAGGCTGGTAGACTCATCCATGCCCAACTCCATATCTTCCATGGGAGCCATGCCATTGCCCCTTCTCCCTGGTCCATGGTGTTGGTCAGGCCAGATTCCACATCCAAGGCACCTAGGTTAGAGTCCACCAACAGACAAGCACCAGCACTGTCAACTGCATCAGGAGCTTGCTCTCCAGGGTGGAGGCCTGTTGGAGCAAACACCCTTGACATAGTAGTAGCATCCTTGAAGATGACTTCACAGGTTGCCAGTGTCCTCATACAGGATGTGATGGTGTCACACATCCTGACAGGCAGGGCGGAGGTAGATACCCAGTCCCAATCCATCACCCAGCTTTGTGTACTGGCCTGGTTGGACAAGCACATGGGCAGTGCACCCAAAGACACAGATGTGGTCCAGCTTGGGCAGCTTGCCTGTGAAGGTTTCAAGTGGGGCCACTCCATTGTTAGCCTTGTGGGGTGTGGCATTGTGGATGATATTCCTCAAGCAATTCCTCAAGCAACAAGAAGACTTCTAAATTCAGTGCTAGAAACTCACCACCCTGGTTGGTGATGAGTCTCTCTGTTGGCTTGAGGTTGGCAGGAAGGTGTGTGAAGAAGTGGCAGAAGGAAACAATTGCAGGGTCCTTGGAGTGTAGGAGGTACACCCAGCTGTAACATGAGAATGAGTTGATGATCATGAGTGTGTACTTGTGGCCATCCAGAGTCTCTTCCCATTTTGGGCCAACAATGTCTGTGCAGAGAGTATGCATGGGATGCTTGGCTTTGGGAACTGGACCCTTGCTGATGGGCTTCTGACACAAGCTTCCTCACACTGCTGGCACAGGTAGGTAGTTGAGCTCCATGTGGGACAGTGATGTTCAGCTGCTGTGTGATAGTATGCAGCTTGTGTTCATTCACATGGTTGAAGTGACAGTGAAGATGGGGAAGGGTGGGCTCTTTGGTGATGGTAGTATGGATGTGTGTGTTGTCCTTCTTGACACTGTTGGTCTTGACCTCAAGTTGCACAACAGGTATCCTGATGCCAATGTCAACTGCCTGGATGAGCACCTTGCAAGTTGCCTTGGACAACTGTAGCTCCTCTGTTCTTGAAGACAGCTGATTGTTTGTGCCTGTGACCATAGCCTTGGTGATTTGATATGAGGTTCTTGCTGAAGCTGGGCACCAGGAGGATGTTCTTGAGTTCCACCCTGACTTTCTTCCTGAGTATAATAGTGATGGCCTTTATGTTGCTGATTCCAATGGCCTGAAGCTGCCCACTGCTGACACAAACAAAGTACAAAAAGTAACCAGCCAATTGTCAGTCAGGTACTCCCAATGGCAGGTGATGTGTATGTTGGCCCAAATTGTAGTACCATGTATTGCACTCATCTTCCTCCAGACTGGGGGCCTGCTCCAATGAGGTCTTGTAAATGTTGCTCAGGTGTGAAGTGATGACTTCACTTGACCTGGCTTTTGATGCAGTTGGCACTGGTGCTGAGCTCCTTAATCTTTGTGGCATTCTCCACCTCTGGTAATTCTGAAGTGGAAGACACATGCATCCATTAAAGCACATTACTTTCATTAAACCAACTGCACTATTGATGTACCATGCACATGTTTTGAAGATTGCCAAGGTTCTTCTTCTTGAGGTTGCTCTCCTTCCACTTCTTCCACTCCAGTTGCTTGACCATCCACTTGGCAAGCTTGGCTGTGTTGCAGCAGGTTGTTACTATGGACAGAATGCTGCTTGTGGACTGGGTAAGGTTGTTGGTAATGTTGTTGTGTGTAGGTTGTAAAGAATAATGACCATTGCACCATGTTCAGCCTTAAAAGTACTATGCTCAACCAATGAGCTTTTTTCTTAAAAAGTGTTGGGATCAAGGCCACCAATGAGACAGCCTGCTCTGAAATTTCACTGTCTTCATGGGTGAGATGTCATTGGCTGCTGGTTAGAAGGTAGGCTGGTTTGTGTTGACACTAACTTCAATTCTGATCCTCCCCTCTCACCACCACATCTCTCAACTGCTCACACCCATGGAGGCATTGGACAGTGATACCTGGTTTGTCCCACACTTCTATTTGATTTTTCCCATAATTCTTGACTGTCTTAATCAAAATTATGATGTACCAAGAAATATACTATTTATCATGATGGAGGTTTGTTTCCCCTCCACAATTGTTGTGTATGTGCATGTGATGATTAGAATCACAAACTT